AATGCAAACGTTCAGAGAATAGAAAACATGTATCTTCATGATTATTCTTCTTCTAATTTCTTGTTGTAAAAAAAGTGAGAAAATATCATACACAACTACAAGATATATGATTTTTACTCTTCTAGATACTAATGACATAGGCTTATCTACTAAACAATACAATATTCATGCATAAATTTTATATCATTTGACATTTACAAATGATTGTTTATCTCCGTACTTCAAGAGAATATTATGATTATATCTGTTGTTATTGTCATAGAGAAAAGGAGATCAGTTATCATTTAATAAATAATAGCAATTCTAGTTAGACATGAAATATCACTTAAGAATAGAGCCAATAATGGTATTATAGAAAAGATTAATACACTATATCCAATGAAATGAACAAAATTGAATTATTTTTCTACAACATATTTTAATTTTCTTTATCCATTAACAAAAATAAAATTTTTTAAGGTCTTTTTGAATACGTTTCGAAACAATTCTCAACGTAGATGCGTAATAAATTTATTTAATTTTGCTTACGTATTTTTCAGCCAATAAAAAATATAATAGCGTTTTTCCTGAACTATTTTCAGAAGTTTTTACGTCAAAAGTCAGATATTTACCAGGATTTGCGTCAGAGAAAGGCATTATTTAATGGTGATTTGACGTCATTAGCTGTTCTAATAATTTCATCATTCAGACAGGAACAAATGAGTTTGTTCATGATTTTTTTCTAAAAACAACAACTCCAAATGCTTTTATAAAAGAACGATAGGAATGGCATGTATAAATAATCGATACTGAATTCATTATTTTTTGTTATTATATAACACGTTAAATGTTTCGTATGAAATATTTATTGTATTTTATTTTTTTTCATTTGGTTATCGGTCAACTTCAAATCAATCTTCATCATACAGGTGGGGTAAATGAAAATGAAAATAATGATTTATTACAACATGATTGTTTACGTATTGATGTTTTAAATGGAGACAAATATGTTTATCGTGAAATATTATTTTATTGTATGAATGAATTCTCATCGAAATTTAATATAGAAGAAAATGGTTATTTTCCAAAGTTTACTTTTGAACAATTTTCAAAACAAAATATAACAGGTCAGCAATTATATCTTTGGTCAACACCAACAGATATTATTGAAGATTATCAATGGTATTTAAATCAATTATTAATATCAAACGATTCACCATTATCAGAAAAGATCTTTTATAATTGTACATTGCCAAGATTTGGTTCAATGTGTCAATATGAACTTGATTATTGTCATTCAGATTATCCATCTTTATATGAAATGATTAAGAATTTCTATAATATTTATTCATATAATCCAACGGATCTTACTTGTTACATGCATTTATAATGTAATCGTGGTCATCATCCAGCATGTTTAGATTGAACAGAAATTTGTAATGGACAAATTGATTGTATTGATGGTGGAGTTGATGAAGAATATTGCTGGCAACTTGAAATAAATGAATGTAATGAAAATGAATATCGATGTACTAATGGACAATGCATAGACAAATCGTTTTTTCAAGATGATATTCATGCTCCTGATTGTCTTGACGCTTCTGATTTAGATGAGAGGGATCGTCCTCTCCCACATCTATGTAGTTCACAGATGCCGTTATTTAAATGTGAAGACGTAACATGTAAGAGTTCACCTTTAACAGATTCTTGTATGATAAAACGTGAACAATTATTATTCGAAACCATGGATAATATCAAAGACGAATCAATATATTATCAATGTTGGTATGCATTCTTATGCGTTTTTAGTTATTCAAAAGATCCTTTTGATACAAGATGTAATGATTTTTGTAAGTATCATATATGTCTTTTAATGATCAAACAGGATTGCCCAAATATGTTATTCATACCAACTATTCCAGTTTTATTTGGTGATATTTATTTTGCTTATGAAAAATATAGTCCAACAATGTTGGACTATCGAAAGTTTCTGTTTCCTTATATATGTTATAGTAATTCTCGTTATAATAATTTAATTTATCATCGTGGTATTCATCCAGAATTATTTCAACAACCCGATGTATTTCCATCACCACAATTTTATTTACAACACTTACATTCAAAACTTTGGCAATACCATGAAATTTATAATTATAATTCTATAATTTGTAATAGATCGAATATGTATCAATGTTCGAATTCATTAAAATGTATTTCTATACATCGTCGTATGAATGGTATAAATGATTGTCCGAATAGTGATGATGAAAATATAACTTCGGTTAATCATACTATTTCTATAGACGAAATTAAACCTCCAGAAGAAGAATCAGACATAAAATTAAAAAATTTCCGCGAACATATTTCATTTCAAATAATATGTGATAGATCTACTGAATTATTACCAATATTAATGGATGGCATAAATGTGTTTCACCTAATACGTATAAAATTATTTATTTACCAATTATCAAAGCAAATGATGGTAGAGTTGATTGTATTGGAGCTACCGATGAACCAACATTATGTCGCAAAGAATATCAAATAATGAATCTGGATAACTTTTATTGCAAAAAGCAAAACTCAAAAGTATGTATCGGAACTTGGGATCTATGTAACAGTTTGAATGCTTGTGATGATAGAGATTATAAAAATTTTTGTACAACATATAAAAATCAAACTTCTTCTTTTTGTGATCCGTCGGAACGTCTAAATGTTTCGAATATCGAAAATTATTTATGCAATCAAGTAGGAATATATGGAAAAGAACGAATTATAAACTTTACTCTTAATGGAATGAAGGAATCACTAAAAGATCAAACAAAACAACATATAAAAAACGAAGTACGTTTAAGTCCACCTATAACTGTAACATCTATTCAACAACAACTTCATTGTCATCGTGGTATTGATGTACGTATATGGTTAAATGATAAAACTAATCGAACAAGAAAAATATGTTTTTGTCCACCAAGTTATTATGGTGATCAATGTCAATATCAAAATCAACCAGTAAGCCTATCAATTAAATTTACAACGTCACCTAATTCATGGCAAATACCATTTGCAATTGTTATTTTATTAATTGATGATGATAATAATAAACAAATAATTCATTCATATGAACAAATTACTTATTTATCAACACGAGATTGTAAAGTTAAATATAATATTTATTTACTTTATTCAAATCGACCAAAAAATCAAACAAAAAATTATGGAATACAATTTAATATTTATGAGAAAATTTCATTAAAATATCGTGGAAGTTTATTTTTTCCAATTAAATTTTCATTTTTACCTGTTTATCGTTTAGCATTAATCGCTAATATTCCAAATGATAATATTCATTTTGAAAGTTGTTCAAATAATCGATGTATCAATGGTAAATGTATTAAATATTTCAATGATAAACAAAAAAGATTGTGTCATTGTAATACTGGATGGTCTGGTCGTTATTGTACAATTCAACATTCTTCAATATGTTCATCTGATTCATTAGATATTGGTATTTCTTCTTCTACTGATCAATCAATATGCATTTGTCCTATTTATAAATTTGGTCCTCGATGTCTTCTTAACAATATGATATGTCAAAATTTAACATGTCAAAATGGCGTTCTATGTATTCCGACGGATGAATATATGTTATCGAAGAAACGATTTATATGTATTTGTCGAAAAGGTTATTTTGGAGAACGATATGAATTAGAAGATAATAAAATAATTTTATCATTTGAAAAATCTATTATTGTACCACAATCAATATTTATTCATTTTATTGAAGTTATGAATCGTGATAGACCAGTGCGATCAAC